TGCTTGGAAAATTCAAAAATACTGCCCCTCTTCAATATTCAACCAGATGTTATGATCAGTTCCTCAGTACTTCAGGCTTTTACACCTGCTTGATTACTTACTTTTTACTTTTACGAGTCGAAATATGTTGACGTAGTGCTACTCTACTCACCTCTGGAAAAAATGAAGAGCCCACTGCAGTGAACCCCATTGAAAACCTCATGATTGTTCCACCAAATTTTGATTTCTGTGTTAAAACATCAGTATTGTTGTTCCTAAATTAATATGAACGTGTTTTCTTTGCATTATTTGAGGTCTGAAGTGCTGCAACATTTTCCTTATTTTCACCACTTCTCAGTTTCTGCAAATAAATACAAAACTTTTGCTTGGAATTTCAGAGACACGTTGTCAGTAGTTCCTAGAACAAACAACAATGTAAATAAACCTATAAAAAGCCATTTTGTAGTTTCAAGAGCTGTTTGTTTCTGTCGGCTGAGCCTCCATTGATCCCTGTTCTTGTCATTCCGACACGCTGCAGTTTTGCTCCTGGTTTCTCCTCAGCTAGTTAAGGCGGCTCCTCTGTATCATTAAAATCACAGATCCTCCAGACACCCGACAGGAACGCTGGGGCGCAGATGTTTGAGATCCCTCAGTAACTCTACAGTCAAGAAGTAGATGCAGAGCCTCGACTGTGCCAAGTAGCACCATGTGACACTGCTGCAGCGCGTGTGTGTGTGTGTGTGTGTTTTACTAAGGGACTGCATTTAGCTCAGAGTTTGTGTCTTATACCGGTTAATTAATCCCTTCTGGGACGGGCTAAAACACTCACCAAGACACGCACAATTAGAAGAGGATGTTTTCCCCTCTTTTGTCCCTCCTCCGTTTTACACCATTAATTAAACAAGGTTAGTATTTCCTGGGTGATGTGGAGCCCCCCGTGCCTGGAGGGGAGGCGTACCCCTGTTCTCAACCAGAGAGGGCACAGCAGCAAAGTCAAACACGGCGTCGAGGGAGTACAGAATTATGCCGAGGCATTTATCCTCGTCCCTGCATGCGGCAATGCTTGGTCTCATTTAGTCGCTACAAAGAGGGGTCATTTTCTGTGAAATCTGGTTCAGTCCAGACGGCGAACAGGAGGTTACCGGAAGCAGGATGTGGAACAAGCCTCTCAAATTGAGTTGACGCAAAAGTGAGGGGGCGCCGCAATAGAGGGGGGGGGCAAAACAATTATTTGTTGCCTGTATTTAAAACTGCAGTGTGCAACTTTTATTTAAAATAATTATAAGCTTTTTACATATTTGTTAAAACTTATCACCATGTATAAAATCAGACAGATGATATGTGAAAGGATAAAGCTCCGCCACCTCCTCCCTATGCTACTATTGCAATTTGAAGAAAAAAAAACCCCATCAGAGCCAGGAGGAACATGTTAGCGCTGTCAATAAACCTTGTGAATGCGCTGCTGGAGAAAGAATAGAATAGAATATACTTTATTGATCCCCACGGGGAAACTGCTTATTCATTGACAAGCTACTCCATCTAAGGTGCTATATATCAATATTACAAATATAACCATAAGAGATTACTATTATAAAATATATAAATATGTAATAGTGATGTAAGTAATTCAATATATTTATATTATTTTATTCAAATAAGACCTTTTATCCGATGTCATCGGAGACCTTGCTAACTAGCCTTAGCATTCAGGACAGGCTCTGCTGACAGGAATAAGATGTATTGTAGCAGAGAGCAAGAAGAGGGAGTGAGCAGCTGCACTTGGGCATGATTGACAGCACTAAGACCCACCTCTAGGTTCTAATTGGCACAAAAGAAGGCAGAGGAGCTTGATTTTAAAAAAAATTATTTTCAGATTGTCCATCTCATACTGTCACGACATGGTGACAGTTTAAACAAAAAAATATACAATTAAATAAAACATACATGCTGCAGCTGTAACAGCTGTTGTGACCTGCAAAGTGTCTGCATACGCCTCAGAAAGTACTTAGCTGCACCCCTGACTGCATCTCACAAATCAGTGTGGTTTATTACTTCTGACAGGTATTATCATTGCCATGGCCCCTTTTTCACCTTTTCACACTCAGCATGGCGTCAGGGCAGAGTAAAGCAGCATGGCGTCACTGACCTTTTCACCCCAGGAAGACGACAAGGCCTCTGGAAGGGAAAAAACCCTGACAGAAGTCAAGGGAGCAGAGGAGATTCAGGGAGCCCCAGAGGAACAGCTCTGGCTTAACACATCCAGTCTAATTCCTGTCACTCCAGGACGCCCATGCAGGGGAGAGCTTAGTCTCTGCAGAACGACTGACGTCTCATTTTAAGGCTGTGAAGTTGGTCCTGTATGCTATGTCAATAAATCACTTATGAAACCTGAGTTTTATTTGATAATTGAAGTGAAAAACCTTTACAATAAAAACTACATTTCTGCCAATGTAAGATCAAACCTTTAATAACCCTTTTTTTTAACTTAATGAAATGTCCCTACAAATATTTAATGAACTGTCATTACAAATATTTTTCTTCTTCAGTGAACTTATTTTCAAGCACAGCTTTGTGATGTAAAATCCCCAAATGATACATCAACAGTAAGGTTTAAATAAGATAGGATCCATGGCTTTTAATGCTTCTTTTTCCCTAAATAAGAATCTGAAATGTGTTTAGTTAATATGTAGTGGAAATCATTTTACTGAAATTTCAGCTGCAAGTTTTTGACATTTTTCAATAGATTAGCACATCTATAGACTGAACTGTTTGCTCATTCTTTTGTGCAAAAGATGCGTTGAGTGCAAACTATTAAGTTTTCCTGATGACATATTTCCTCACAGGAGCTGCAAAAAAACAAAATCATTGATATTTGTGGTTTCAATTTGGTGAGACATCTGAAGAAATCAAAAACAACCTTTGATTTTTAAAATGTTCTGATCTGAACAGAGAACTAATTATTGGGAAGTTATGAGAGATTCTATTTTAAGACATTCCAGAGCTGGTGAATAAAACCGGTTTGTGTCACCTGATTTTTAAGAAGCAGAGCAGGTTTGTTACGATATCATCTTGAAACGTTGGTCTGCTTTGGTTGGTGAAATATTTTTCAAAATGGTGCAAACAGAAACTGACATGGAAAAAGAAATCTGACTAATGAAATCAGGTTTCATACACTTAGAATAAATACTGTATTCGGAATGACATTGTTTTAGGAATGAATCCTGAGCTTTCTCTACATTCAGAGTAAGTCTAAACCAATTTCCATCATCTTTCATTACCTCAGCAAATGACAACTTGAGTGTTTTAATAATACATTCCCCTGCTGCTACAATAATTGCAAGAGATCGAGTGATGCAAAACGGCAGCATCAACAAGCTGGTGGAGCCGTTAGCAAGCGCCTTCATTCTGCTTGAATAGTTTCAATGCATTTCATTTTATTGTGCAATAAATGAGCAAAAACAAAGAGCAGAACTGAGAAGTAAAAGAAAAGGGATAAATGGTTTAAATTATTTATTTCTACATAAAGGAATCTGAAAAGTATAACCACCTAAAGCTCAAATACCATAAAAGGTGAAGTGCTTTAACCCTTTAAGAATTAAGTTTCAAGTCTCCAACTGGATATTTCTCCTGATTTTAACTGTATGCAGTTCTTTAAATGTCCTGTGAGTTAATATATTTACTTATTTATCCATAACGACTGGAACTTTCAATATCTAGCAAGTTATTTTCGCAATTTAGCATCTATTGAAAGACCGCCCCTCAGATTAACTTCAATCTTTGCTACGGCGAGAGTGAAATTACCGTAATAACTTGATATTGGCTGGAAAGCGCAACGTCTCCCCTTTTAGAAACCGTCGGAATTTTTCAGACAGCGCCATGTGTGGCGGAATCACGGTACTGCAAATCTAGCTGGATCGTCGCCGACGCGTTCAGACTGGGAGGGTTAAATATCTCGGAGCATCGTTTAGCTCGTCAACTGAAAAGGGGAGGAGTCTGGCACTGCAGCAAACCCAATGAGACACGTCCATCCTCCGAAGATGGACCGGCCAGGATAGGATTAATCAGAAGAAATTAAAACTAGAGACGTAACTCTGGAGGAGCTGCAGAGACCCAAAGCTCAGGATAAATTATTTAAGGCCTCCACCAATGTCAGATTCAGAAAACTATTCTCAGAGGGCAATAAAAGAAACGAAGCATCAACCAATTTAAAAAAAGAAAAAGGTGCAGTTAAACTACCAGCACTAATAAGAGCATTCTGAAGCTCATGTCCGTTCTTGAAAACGCAAAAAATATAAGTTTTTTTCCTTTTGTAGAAAAGCGAATAATCGTAGAAAATCAAATCCTGCTTAAAGTTTGCTATAAGCCTAGTAGAGAAGATAAAAACTGGGAGCAGCTCTGGTCAAATGAGACAAAAATCAACGTCTGTGTGACAGGGGAGGGAGTTTATCTCATTATTTATTCAAATTCAGAAATACTTTATTAGTCCCAAGGGGAAATTAAATTCATTAATTTAAATTCTTCAGAGTTTGAAGATGGAGATGACTGTAGGCAGGAAAAATCTCTTGTAGCAGTCTGTATTACAGCGAATCTGAAGAAGCCTCTGACTGATCATGCTCCGTTTTCTCTCAATATGATTAATTTCTCATAAAGATTTGATTTATTATTGTCACAATAAATTCAAATTAATGTTTTAAAAACCCTCAAAAATGTATCGTCAGAATTGTTTTCCACCGTTTGTTCAGTAAGGGAGTATCAATAAATAAATTTTAAAATGTGATTAAAAACAGCTTCTGTGTTCATTTTAGTGATGCAAGTCACTTTATGTGACTGGTGTGTTTTTCAAGATGAGTATTTGTGCGCCTATAATTGCTGGAATATTCTTTAAATTACATTTTTTGTTGCTAAAATACATCAAATTTCATTATTGAATAATGAGAAAAATGTGAAAACATGTAAGATTATGTTCTTTAAGACATTTCTGATTAATATCCACTGAGACTCACCGACACAAACAAGTATTACCACAAGGAGAGAAATAAAATGTTTATTTTACCATCTGCATTTTTCTTCTTTGATCACTAATAATAAAGTCCAGCGGATGGTAAAACATCTGCAAAATACAACGAATACAAACAATAGTGTTTACACTGTGTCCCTCCCCCCATTAACATTTTGGAATCAATGTAGTGAAAAAAAAAAATCAAAATGAAATCTGATTCAACAGAAAAAGTAACAATAAAGCTAAACTGTAACAGATGAATGCATTGTCGGACAAACGTGCCGTCGCCTATGTGGTTACATTCATTTGTTTGCTTTATAATATCTTATTCCAAAATTAGATCGCGGGCTCCATTAACAGTGTTAAAGCCACATTTGAGGGTCAAAACTGCTCGGGTTTGGTTTTACAAGAAAAAAGACGCACATGGAACAAAAAAAAAAAAAAAGAGCGAAAGTTTCAGAAAGGCATCGCATTAAAAAAAAAAATAGAAAAAAGAAAAATCTGAATATATAAATTCTATGACCTAGGACAGCACATCTTCCTTATGCATACTGTACCATCTAACAAGTACCAGAAAAATGTTTTTGGTCCTGTATGAGCAAGTTTTTAAAGAAAAAATCTAAATAAAACCTGTGCTACGGTGTCCAGGTACTTTGTGCTATTCATCCATCTCCCTCAGCGACTTCATTCACAGCATTAACTCACTATTAGTGTTTCATTTCCTTCATTCAGACAGAAGGGACCTGAAGCTCAGAACTCGTCTGGTTCTTGTACACAGGCTGTTACGACTGAATAACCTAAAATAAAATATGAGAAAATATATAGATTTATATAGTGTTATGATTACTGTTCTAGACAGAACTAATTACTGTGAGTGTGGCGTGAAGCTAAAAAGGCCCCGTCTAATGTTCATCCTCAATAGTAGTTTATTATATACACTCTAATAAAAATGCCCGGTCGGCTGAAAGGAGTGGATGCTCAGTCCGTCAGCAACCGTGGAAGAACTTTGCGGCCGCAATGAAGAGGCCCAGATGAAGGAACCGATCAGAGCAGATTTATATGATATAAAAAAATATCTAAGAAACAAGGTAGGCTTAAGGACAAGTGGTTATAAATGGCAGAGTGTGAGACTGGTTTTGGCAAAAACAAAGCGCTCTACTTGTGCATGTGAGGCCCTCGGAAAAAAACGTTGATGTTGCTGGGTCGTCTCGGTAACCATGCAGCAAGGAGACGCCGCGTAAACACACGTGGTCGGTGTGAGTGTGAGTGTGTGTGTGTGTTTGCAAGTGGGTGGCGTTCACGGGGACAGATGTCGAGCCTCTCACACGCACTCCTCCGCCGACATCAGCAGAGGGTTGATGTACTCGAAGCCCTCGAACTCGGACTGGTCGATCTTCCTGACGATGTCCCTGAAAACGAGACGAGAGGCGTGAGACGGACACGTTCGAACGATCGGACATGTGAGCCGAGGCGAAGGGAGGAGGCGGTTAGTTACTCGTCGTCAGGCGTGAGCTGGATGGGCTCGTTGGTGAACTGGGCGTCGAAGTTGTCCAGTCCGAATTCCCCTGAGATGTTGGGTTTGAACGGCGGGAGCACCTGCTTCTGCTCCAGCTGAAACGACAAAAATTACAGTTTAATCATTTAACTATAAGCAAACGTGGTCGACTTTTCCCACAGTAGATTTCAAGAACTTTTCAAGAATTTTCAAGGTAAGTTTTCAAACTTTTTCAGCACCACATTGAATGGATGTCAATGTCAAATTTATGTGAGCAGCACTTATAAAAACTGGTCAAAACTGCACCAAAGCGCTACACAAAAACCAACAGAATAAATTGATGAAAAGAAAAATAAAAAAAAATAAAAAACATCACAAGTTACCGTACCAAGCCTCAATTAAATGGAGATAAAAACAATACAAAGTAACAAAAAAAAAAAAAAAAAAACTGCTTTTAAGTCAGTTTTTTAAAAGTGATTTTTGGGGAGAAAACACAAAACTCACTTTTGGCAAAATAAATAATTATTTTAGGAAGGTCACAATATCACAATATTAACAATTACAATAGCATACTGCAATCTTTTCATTTAAAAATTTTATGTTTTGAAATGTCTCTCTTACACACACCCGAGAACAAAACACTAAATTAACAAAAAATAATATTAAATAAGATTCCCTAATTTCCATAACGTTATTTAATGCATAAAATATAAGACAACCTTTATATCAATTACACAGATCAATAAATCATTGAGATATTAAGAATATTAAATATTAATTATACTGAAACAATAAAAAACAAATTATAGATGACCTTCCTGCTCAAATTAAATGCTGAAACACAAAATGGAAAGAAAGTTACAACAAAAAAAACCTCTGTCGCTAAGTTATAGAAATTATTTTTTAATCAGTATCATAAGTTGGAAAAGGTCTCAACACAATTTTTGTTCAGCGCAATAATTTATGCGACAATTTATCGTCTGGTAAAATTCGTTACGTCAGGCTTACTATGGACATTATTTTTAAGTTTTTCCAGATTCTCAGTTTAACCTATGTGAGTTGGACTTTGACTAGACCATCTAACAGATGAAAATGCTTCATAGCTCTTGCTGTATGTTTACCAGGTCTTCTTCAAAGCCTACCCAGCATGTAAAGTTCTCCACAACTTCCCTGACCTTTCTGCCGTGATCCTTGATCTTCATGATGATGTTTGTTCTCTAACAAACCTCTGAGGCACCGCATACAGTTTCAACAGTGAGTAAAACCTGCATGAGTCAGTCGTTTTCCACTACACTGATTACCAGTAACTCAATAAGCTTTCATCTGCCTCCCACTTGCATCAAAAACTGACTGGAAGCCCAGAAGAGCTCCCCCTGCAGGCCTGCAGGTGAACTTGTAGGACAGAAATTTGGGTTTGTGTCACAACGGTCAAAGTTTGGAGGGAGGAGGGAGTGCAAGCTGATCTGTCCAGACGCTGTGACCAACTGCTGAGTCTCCGCTCCAGACCAAACAGGGGGAAAAAAGGAGGTCATATTGATCCCTGCTGAGCTACGCGGTCTGTCCGTCACACGTGGGTCTGCTTCAGACACAAAATGTGCCTGATACTTCAAACGGGGACAGTTTTAGAAGTACAAACACTGTGAATGATTCAGCATATACTAATGAGAACATACACAAAGGTTAGAGTTATTATTAGAGCTGCAGCTAACAATCATATTAATAATCAATTAGAATAATTCATTATTTTGACGATTAATCAGATAAAACATCAGACACAGTCTGCAGATATTTCATTTAACCACTTAAGTCGGTTTTATAAAATTTATTAAAGAAAAAATAAGAAAATTAACATTTTCTAAAATGCGACAACATAGCATTTCTTTTAGTGTAGCAAAGGATGCATCAGCACATAAAAAAATACTAACATAAAAAGTCCTTTCTGGCTGACTTACCAATATTTTTTCAATTAACCAGTTAATAATTGGATAGTAAAAGGTGTTTAATAGGAGATTTTTCTTTATTTTATTTTTTTTTAAGGATTAGAACCAAGTGAAGCTAAAATTATGCCATTTAATGAGTTCTGGGTAGAACATGCTTACAAAGGTTTTCTTTTAATCTTAAGTGCAAAATGTATATATTTTTCAACAGTTTTGGTTTAATAACTGCTCTGAGTATGTTGCCCTTTCAGCAATTTGCCTTTTTTGAGTCTGTTCTCCACTTAACGATTAATAAATTACTAAATTAGTTGATGACTAATCGTTTCAGTCCTGGTTATTATTAAGCGTGGACTCTTACCAAATAATCTTTTCTTCATTCAAATATAACCATCAACTCTATTTTGCTGATGATAATGACTATTTTATTACACTTTTGCTGTTAAAACAAACATCTTTGGATTTTTATACGTTAATTTGAAATGATTTCTGTCAACAACTGAGCTTCAACTCTGCTGGGACTGGGTCTCATTTTACAGCGGATGGTGTCACAAAACGGAAATCTCACTCTTAGATGACATCTCATTCATCATTGAAACTGAGAACAGGAAGCTTTAAAAATATCTGCGCGCATTTCTGGTTGTAGATTCAATTTCACTCGTATTCCTACAGGTGATTCTGAACCTCCTAACATGCGAGTTATTGATTCACGCAGCTTCATCCCCGAGTTCAGAATTAAACTTGAATGGTTGTAAAAGGAGAAATCAAAATAGAGAAAAGCTCCAGTGTTTGGAAACTTTGTGAAAATAATCAATGAAAGTGTCAGAGGCCGAGATTACTTCAGTGGAAGTAAGAGCAGTATCTGAGAACTGGAACCTTAGCAGACAGCTCAGTTTCACTCTGAAGCAACACATGATTCACCGATGATCAAAAAAAAAAAAGAAAAAAGAAAAACAGAGCTCCACATTTTAGCTCTATATGGTCCGTCTCCTCTAATACGTTCTCCATCTTTGGCTTGAGCCTATCTGAGCCCATGTGAGTCACCCCATCAGCTGTTGTCAGTCTCTTGCTGACATGTTTGTTTCTGTCTGGCCGTTCTAAACAAGGACACGCGTCTCAGACCACAGCTGGTAACCTTTGGCTTTTACGCTGCAGCCAAACCTGCAGAGCATGACAGGGAGACATGACGCATGACCCCAAAAGCACTTAGGTTTGACCCTCAGCTGTCCACCTTTGTCCTACTTTCTAACAAGCACGCATCTGAATTCAGGAGGAAAACACAAAGTTTGCAGCAGGCTGTTCACATTGTACTGAAGAATCCAACACATCAACGTCCAAAGTGCGGCCCGGGGGCCATTTGTGGCCCTTGGACTGACCAACTGCAGTTCGAAAACGATACAGAATTGGCCCACAGATGCAAACGGAGACATAAAAACTGTTACCCACATTAACTGTAAATTATAGTACAACACCAAGTATTTGTCTTTTTACAACCAATTTTTAAACAAAAGGTAAAACCAAGTCTATCCAGAGACTTTTACTGAAAAGCCAACTTTGTTAAACCCAAATGAGCCTTTATTCGATCTTAAATGTGGTTAAATAAAGCAAACATTTTGAAACAAAGTGTCCCAAATCTTGTTCTAATTACTGAAAGTAAATTTATTCAATCAAATCCAAAAGAAACTGAAAAATAGAGGTCTCTTTTAATACATGCAAAATTACAGTAAAAATATGTTGAGATCAAAGAAATTTTCTAGAGAAAACAAATTTTTAGGTTAATAGAAATTTTCTACAAAAAGCTTGAAATTTTCAGAAATTTATTTTGGAAAAATTTTCTAGAAAATTTAAAAATAAATCACGACATTTCTGAATTTTTGGCCAAAATAATTTCTATCTACAATGGCCCACATACACTATTGTAAAAATCTTTGAGTTTAGGTTGTTTTTTTGGCCCACATGGCAAAAAGTTTGGACATCCCTGCATTAATGGAAAGTTGAAAGGAAAGAAACGCAATCTTCACAGTCGTGGGTAGGACTTCAAATGTGATTTTAGTAGAAAAGTGAGTGGAAGGAAAAAATGTATCGAACAAAAATATGACAACAATATTTGGAGGAATGGTGAAGCAATGGTTATTTAAGAGTTTGATGGATATTTAACATTACAACAGTTTTTGTCATGCTTATTTTAGGGCTAAATCCAACAAACATCATAGCGATTAATCTATCCTTTATTCTGATGATTAACCCGAGAAAAGAGTTATCAAATTCTGCAGATTTTTTAAGCCCTCTTACACAATATTAGAAATCCATTAAAAGTTGCAAATATTTTAACTTCTTTTTCAAATAAGAAAAACATTTTACTGCCTGAAATGCATTAACAGCATTCCATTAGTGAACACTTGATCACTAGTAGCATAGGAAGCATCTCCAGCTAAAACATACTTTTAACATCAACATGAAAGCTCAGCCTTTTCTGCTTAGCTCAATAAGATGCCTTATAGGAGATTTATTTTATTTATCTACAGAATTTGAACCATGTGAAGCTAAAAACCTGAGGTCTGAGTAGAACATATTCACAGATTCTCCATCTTAAATGCAAAATTTACATATTTTTGTACAGTTTTTGTTTAACTGCTCTGCGGCTGCTGCCATTTAAAAAAAGGCCTTTTTGAATCTGTATGCTCCAGTTAGTAATTAATCTATTACTAAATTAGTTGACGATTATTTGAATAATCATCATGACTGAGGATGAAACAGCAAAAGCACACATACAAAAAAAAAAAAAGAAAAAGAAAGAAAAAAATCACTCACAAGTTCCCAGTCGACGTTTCGGAAGAACGGATGGCCGTTGATGTCTCCGAAGCCTGTCTGAGGGTGGCAGCCCAGACGCTCCTTGGGATCCTGTGGGAATGAAGGTGAGAGGAGGGTGAGAGACGGTGGGAGATGACAGCAGGAGGAGTGAGACAACATGTCCAGCCAGGATGAGGAGCGAGTGACAAGGAAGAGAAACTGAGGACAGACAAATAAACCAAGGCCAAAAAATGTGAAGCTTTTTAATTCATTTGAATTCACCTTCAAAAGGTAACATATGATGCTTCCTTGAACAGCTTTAGGATGGTGTGTGGGCTGCACAAAACATTTATTATATTATTTTTGCACAAAATCACTCTTCAATCATGATTTTTAGTCTGATCAGTTCTGCCTATTCTGAGCTTTCAGAATGAGATGGTTTAGGGTGTCTTGTCACTTTAAATCCAAATAAGCTGCTGCGGGCCACAACCCCCACTTAATGCCTATACTGGCACGTGAAAAACGGATGCACAATTATACAACTGTACAACTTTGAAAAGCAGAAGTGGAGTCTCCTGCGCAATCAGCAAGTTTTCAGCAAGTGGTTTCTGGATGGTAAGTCAACAACACAACACTTTTGTTTTTTGTTTTTCCAGAAGCCATTGTACAGGACATACAATGGCTGCTGTACAATGGCTGCTGGTAAAACCAGCTGACCAAACATGGTGGAGCTCAGCTTGGGTTGTGAGATAAAGGGCTGGAACTCCACCTTGGTTGCTAGGCAACGGCGCAGTGCCTGCTGATCTGTGACGTTACATTCTGGAGGTTTTTGAAACACTCATTTTCAAGGAAACAAAAAACGTTAAAACATGGCTCGGTGTTTGGGTTTTTTAAGCATTTAGGCTGTTTTTAGAAGAAGTAGAAAGTATAAAAATGTACAAAATGTTCATTTTAAATAATACATTCCCTTTCAAATGAGTCATAATACTCCTTACATGAGTCCATCAACTGGTTCATGTTACGTATTCTTCAAGACAAATTTCCAGTAAGGTGGTTTTTGATCTATTTTTAGTGATATTACAGTCATTTAGATGACAGTGCGGCTAATTTAGTTTGAACTGAGCACATCTAGTGATGATTAATGGTCGATTTAAATCAACGAACAAATTCAGGGACAACTTTCTGTGTGACCTCTCAGGATGAGCCAACATCTCTCCCACACTGAGTGTTGCATCGTCATGTCTGTCATTTGGGCACTTTATGGAAAATATTAGTAGCACTATTCATGACAGGTATCATCAACACTGACAACAAAACATTAGAACAACCTCAATACTACGCTAAATCTGCATTTTTTTTTTTACACAGTCCTATTTATATCGACTTTTGAATTCAGATCATCTCCCAGAAGGAATGATTGAAATAAAAGCATGTTTCTTTTAAAGATATTTTCTGCCCTGTATATTACATTTTTAAGGAAAAAAGCAAGTTTAAAAGACAATTAAATCAAATTTTTGGATTACAAAAAATTATTTTCAAGCCACATCACCCAGCTCTAATCTTATTTAAGTGTTTACATCCACCGCCGCCATGATTTTTAATGATTTATCACATAAACAAGATTGTTCACAGGTGATTTTAATAGCATTTCTCATTTAATGAAAACACTGCAATTGTGAAATTGCATCTCCAAAAGGTTTTAGACATATTTATAATGGAAAAGCAGCTACAGTCTCTTGTTCTGAACTGCAAATAATCGTTTGTGCTTCTTTTTCATCCCGACTGGATTACGCCAATGCCTCACTAGAACAGATACAAGTTGCCTAAAATGCAGCTGCCAGGCTTTTGAGAAAATCCTAAGTATTTTTTACATGTGACTGATGCAATTACATCGACTTCTGGTTTATTTTAGGAGCGTAATTTAAGATGATTTCATTGACCGAAAGCTCTTCATGGACAGACGATCTATATCTCTACACAAGTACATTCCTGGCAACTTCTAGAAGATTTTTAAACTTTCTCCTCAACTACAGAAATATGTTTACGTTGTTCAAATGTCATCCTTCAATACACATAAAAAATGTATGGAAACATGGAAATCAAAGTGTGTGTGTGTGTGTGTGGGCAAGTTGGAGAAAAAGAGAACACAATAGAGAAGGAGGTGGAATCAGTCTAACATGGATATGATAATGTAATTCCCAGCAGAGACGGATCTGAGCCTGTTTAACCCCTTCATACCTTGTTGAGGAAACCTTTGAGAACGCTGGCAGCTTTCACTGACAATGAGCGCGGGATTCGGATCTGTTTTTCAAAAAAACGGGCGAAAAAAAAAAAAAAAAAAAAAGAGGCATTGAGACTGACACACTCTCCTCATGCCGACATGTCAGGTTATTGACACTGCTGCAGCTCGGACCCCCAGCGCAGAACATGCTGCAGCTCTGTGATCCATGTTGTGATAACGTGTGTTGAATTATGTATCGGTCTGCAGATCCAACATCTCACTGGCTATTCTAAGAACACAAACACATTCTGGGAGCATATTTAATAATGAAATAAAGGGAAAACACATACTTTCACACATTTCCCAGCAACAGATGGCATGTGCCTGGCACCGACAGAAGCCGTTATAAAGGTGTCGATAAAAAGGTGTTGGATGCTTCATCACAGTAGGTTTTATTTCCCCCCAGCCTCCCGTCCAACTATAAATCTTAGCAGTGCGTTTCTCTGCGTGTTATACCTTGAAAGAGGTAGTCTTCTGTGTTTTGGTCTGGGTTTTCGTTGCTGCCAACAATGTCGAAGGGCGACCGGCCTGCCATCATCTCAAACATCAGCACGCCCAGCGCCCACCAGTCCACGCTGAACCCTGAGAGACACACATTAGAGATTATATCTGTAAAGCAGAAACATGACTTCTTTATGTTCCAGAGACGAAAGGCGACCTATTATGCTTCCTTGAACAGGTAAGGATCGGTCTACAGGTTATTCAAAATGTCTTTATTATGTTTTCTTTGCACAAAATCATTCCTAGATTATAATATTTCAGTCTGGTCAGTTTTACCTATTTTCAGATGAGCTACTTTAGGGCCCCTTTGTCCCTTTAAAACCTTAAAGCCCTTGCCGGCCCTGTTCCCCCCCCCCCCCCCAATTCAACGCTTACACCCCATATGAAAATGGCTGCTAATTATACAATCATACATCTTTGAAAAGCAGGAGTAGAGCCTCCTACACAACAAACAAGAATGCAGCAAGTGGTTTTTGGGGGCTAATTCAACAACAAAACACTTTTCTTTTCCAGTAGCCATTGTATACGCTGGAGCTCTACTGGGGGTTGCTAGGTGACGGGTTGCGCTTTGCCGGGGTTGCTAGGTAATGGTGTAATGGCCATTGATTGTGATTGAACAATCTGAAGGTTTTTGAATTAAAAATTAACTTATTGCCAAAAGAACGGCTTAGGGTATTTTTGTTGTTTTTTTTAAAGCGCTCTGATAATTTTAAGAAGCAAATGAAAAAAAAAACATGTAAAATATGAATTTTGCTTAATAGGTCCTCTTTAAATTCAAGACTTCTAAAGGTTGTTAAAAGCTGATTTAACTGCACATGAACTAAAAAGAACACATTTAAAACCTTAGCAACAAATACTTAACCTTAATTTATCTTTATCTACTTGCCTGGGTGTTTTTTGGCTCTAGCATGCATGCTATTTGGCTTAACTGTGGGACAAATGTGGCAATAAACCCCACATTTACCTCCAACAAGTCTCAATTTCTCATTCTCTCCTATTATCGTGATGTTTCCAGCTCTCTCTGTAACCTTTAGCATCTACTGCTCTGATGAATATACGCATCAAATGTGCAAATTAAAGACAGTAGGAATATAAAGGTCAAAGCAGGTACATTCAAAAATGTCCTTGGGGAAATTAAATACACTGATGTTACTGTAATAATTAATTTTCAACACAGTGTGCAGCTCTATTACATTCCTCTTTCCCATCTACCAATAAATCATACTTTTAAAGTAAAAAAAAAAAAACTTTACAAAAAGAATAAACCTTCATAGGTTCTGTATTTTATTAATGGTAGTTCCTAGAGTAATGTAAAGTGAAATGAGTGAAGAGCTTTTAACTTTTTAGGTTCCTCTATTGTGAAAAGATTTCACTATTTGGGTTCAAACTTCCCTTTTAAATCAATGCCAACAGTTAGCGATGGCTTGGGTAACTGTGAGCCGTTGTGTCGGTCTTTCAAACAGTATTCTCATGTTGAAACTAAACGACGTCAAATCAAATTACTGTATTTTCTTTAAAGCTTGGTTTGAAATGTGTGGCTGCCACCAAGCAGAACGTTTGGCTGAACCAGAAGACACAACAAAGTGAAAAACAGTAAGGAATAATTTTAATGTAAATAATGGTTTCTGTGACAGTGAAAATCTGAGTTGTTAACAGTTATTTCTTCTTCTTTTTTTTCTTTAAAACTAGGAAGACTTGTCGCTATGATACAACTTTGGTTACCGGGGAGCTTTTCCTATTTTTATTTTATTGTTTTGCGTGTCGATAATTATAGCCGAGGATCTCAGCAGAACAAAGTGACATTTATCTGAGCAGCTGAAACTAAAGGCAACCTTTGCCATCAATGTGTCTCGCTAGACTTGAGTCATCAGGCTGGCCTTTCACCACACTGTTTTCCAAAGCTCATGCACCTTTGAGCAAGTTTAAAACTTTCCCAATTAAATTTGTCTACTTTCGTATTCATTTATTTCCTAGGTTCTGTTTTTTTTTTTTCTGACATAAACTACATTTCATCTGCCCTCATCTTGTTCAGATAAACATGCAGCTCAGCTTCTGCAGCTGCCATTACGACTGAAAGCATCATTTCAGATATCGAATCATAACTCCTCTGTAACTTTTCATAGGCAATCATCGGATAGCGTTTCTGGTAAGTGCCTCCCCGTCATAATTCTCACCATAATCTTCTCCTCTGAGTATTTCAGGAGCGATGTAATTAGGGGTACCACAGAAAGTGCTTGTTGTATCGCCTGGTCTCAAACCCTCCTGCAAAAACAGAAAGATCAGCGCGCTGAAATCAGTAAGCCGACACTTCTGGAGCTCTGCAGGTGCTTTTATCCAAAGTGCACTGCGGCATCATTAGTTCGTGCGTTAACAGGAAAACAAACACCTTGCACATGCCGTAGTCAGTCAGCTTGATGTGTCCCTCAGAGTCCAGCAGAACGTTGTCAAGCTTCAGGTCTCTGTAGATGATTCCCCGCTCGTGGAGGTAGTTGAGTGCCAGACTGATCTCTGCAGAATAGAATCTGAAATAACAGGAACAATCATCAGGATCGTGTTTTTTTTTTTGTTTTTTTTTTCTTAAACAAACCAGAGGAACGGACTGGGTTTATACCTGGCGTGTTCTTCTGGGAGTTTTCTTTGTCTTTGCATGTGGAACATGAGGTCCCCTCCATTTACATATTCGATAACAAAGAAGAGTCTGAGGAGAAAATACATTTTTATTGTTAAATTGCTTTTCTGGTGAGCGGCTAGCAGCACAAAACACAGGACAACACAAACAGTCCATCCAACTTTCCTCTGCTATTTTTAGGTTTAAACATTGAGTGGTGTTTCTGAATATTTTTCATGATGGGAATCTCCCACAACCTGAACTGTGACTTCACAGATTCATTGACAGAAAAACGAACTCCAGTCTAGATGCAGAAATACCCCAACGTGTCATTTAGAAACACTCGAATGGGTAAATTCTGTAATGACTGAATGGTTTCTCTACATGACTGTTTCAAACTTGAAAGATGTTTTATATTTAACCACAACATTTTCACTTTTTCTAAACCTTACAGGCTTAAACTTATGTTTATTAATTTGGTATTTCATGTGATACACCAACAAGGTGCTACATATGGTAAATGGATGAGCAAAAGCCACATGGTTTTTAAAATCTGTTTGCTAACAGAAATCTACAAAGTGTGGTGTGCATTTTGTTTGTCCTTTCACTGCTACTAAAGACGCAATTTTTTTTAGGCAATTTTCTAAAAACTTTGACATGAGGAGGCTAAAATGTTCCCTGTTCTTCATGGGGAAAAAGTCAGATTGAATGGAGACGTTTTGCACAAGATTGTCAACAAATTTAAAGCTTTTTTAATCCTTACTGTCCCTGATAGTTTAGCTATTCACAGCTGAAACTCACTTGATTTCTTAAGAAACCTCTTTTGTTGTTTTTCCTCGCCCGCACTGGAGTTGGGGATCCCTACGCTTATATTTTTGATTTCATTTGACCAGAGCATTTTCTTTCAGAGCATCTGAATTCTGAAAGCTATTAGTTGCACAGAAAAAACTTATTGTTTTTTATGAATATAATTTTACATATATCGATTTATGACTTTTTAAGGGTGTTTGGACACCATGTTAGAACTCCCTAGAACACGTGTCAAATTTGAGGCCCGTGGGCCAAATCCAGCCCGTTGAAGGTTTTTATATGGCCCTCTAGACTCTAGACTAAACACCAAGTGTGCTTAGATATTATCTATCAATCAAATCAATGAGGTTTTATCCGTTTACTGCCAAATTACCTCAGTCAGTCCCTTCAAGTGTCTTGTTAATTATAGTGGAAATTCCCCCCTAAAAAGTTAACAAATCACTTTTCTGTGCAAAGACATAATTGGGAGTTTGTTGCTGATTTTTCTCAAATTTGTCAAAAATTTATGACTTGCACCTTAATTAATGTAATATTATAGTCCATGATCTATACAACGAGTAATAAAAAGTCGCATTTACCAACAAAAATATGCGCAAATGCTTAAAAATTAGTACCACAAACATTTTGATTTTTATTGCAAAAAGAAAATCACAAAAACAATCGTGAAATCCTAGAAGGACTGAAAAGATGTTTGATATCCAATTTTAGTAATTTATTAATATTTTAACAATTTGTGAACGGGTTTTATTGATACATTCTGGCACAATCGGCCCTTTCAGAGCATCCATGATCTTCATTTGGCCCAAAACAAAAACGAGTTTGACATCCCTACCCTAAATCATGCAAAACGTCATGGAAATATTGAGTTGATTAAGAACTGAGAGTTTTTCCCACCCAATGCAGCCTGTCCTAAGGGTCGACGAAGAAGCTTGTCTCTCACCTGCTATCTGTCTGGAAACAGGAGTGGAGGCCGACCAGGAATGGATGATTAGAGGCCTGCTCAAAGACGTGCTTTTCTGTTTGGACCCAATCGATGTCCTGGAAGAGACACACACAAAGACATACCCAAACGTCAATCTGAGATCATTGTGACACAGTATCCTTGAGTTAATAAAAGCTGAATAAGCAGATAGTCCCATCGACCGTGCTACAAAGCTTCAGGATGGGTTGTATGGACGGTGGCTAGCTGTGGGACAAAAAGGGCTGAGCTAAAAAGCGGCAGGAGGACTCCATCGATGTTCGGAAGATAATACATCTGGACACAGATGCTGCTCACGCTGACAGCGCAGGGACAGCTGAACACTTCAGCATTGATCGAGAGGCGCTTGTCAATTTGTCAATCATGCTAAGTGCATCTAATCAAGGCTAACTACTCCTGTTGCCGCCGGCTGTGCTGCTACATGTGTCGACAGATCAATTTCTGATGACATGATGGTTTATCTACACCTTCTTAGAAAGACTGATGGCTTTCAAGAGGTCTGTCGCGTCAACTAAGTGTTTCAAACAAGATGTAGAAGATGAATGAGACGGATGTTCGTTATGCAATGAGTAACAGCTCATTTTCAATTAGATTGTATATGAAGGCTGTAAACGGGGAAAAAAACAGCACTATTAACAAGAAAAAACATTTACATTTTTTGTTTTGAGATCTTAAATGTATAATTTCTCCCTCCAGACCTGTCTTGCGGTGGTTGAGCAACAATTTAACCCTTAACTTTAAAGATGGAAATGTGGAATTTAAAAAACAAAATGGAGTCCACATGATGACACTGAATCTCACAGAATTCCCTGGTATCCGAAAGCAGGAAAAGCTATATTTTGGATGCTGCACTTTATCTGTTACCCAGTAATGTGGGGCTCAGCTCACTTCGGCTCTCTTCAGAAGAAAAAAAACAGTCAGTAGTGGTGGAAAAAATCTCTCTGAAACACAAATGTCCTCCAAAATAATAAAAGAAAACCCAACTCGACGCTTAGAGCAAGGTTAAATTAAATCAAAGTTAAACTGAATCGAGAAAAAATCTTTACTGTAAATTGTGTCACCGCATGTTGGTTGGAGGAGCAAGGCTACAGGAGTTGTTTACTGTAAATGTTTTCGTAAATCAGAGTAAGCAAGGTGAGATTTTTTGAAGATTTTGTTACTGTTTGTGTCGGTTCAGATATTCCTTTGGCAAACGACTGAAAAACAGGTTACATAGCAGTCCGGATCATTATGGATTTACTGTAGCCTTCAACTCTAACGCATTTCTAAAAGGAGATTTTCTTGTTTCAAATGTGAAAAACATGATTTGTTTTGGTTTTTTCCTTAGTTTTCAAAATGGTGGCGAAATACATTTAAATGCCCTGAATGGATCCACTTAATGTTCTGCTGAATCACAACACTTAAATTCTCACTGAATTGGGTTAATAAATATGGCTAGAATGGGAAAAACAGAAAAGGTGGAGTTTGGGAAAAACCTCCTCAATTTGGAAAATAAAAATTTGTTTATCATCGTTTTTCAGTTCCTTTATATTGAGGAACGTTTTAATTTGATTCTTAACTCCACACGCTTGGATTTAATCAGGCTCAGGTGTGGCTAGTGAAACTAAAGTGTCTAAATCACATTTAATTCAGGATATAACAGGGATGGGTGCTTTTTCCCTCCACAATAAAAACAGCCTTCATCTGAGAAATGTTTCATGATCTGACAAAAACAGAAGAAATCTGCAGGGGCTCAAACACTTTTCACAGAGCCACAGGTACAAGGCTGCTAAGGAATCATTTCATGCATGTTTACCGAGTTCTCTCCTCTGGGTGGGTGGAGTTTTGCTGCATCTCATTTTTTAAAACGCATCCGCTAAACACTAATTAGTGTAAACAATCTCCCATAAAAGCCTTTTTAAAAAGAACGAGTTAAGTCTCCCCGTTGGTTCAGATACCTCGTCATCGTTGACGAGCTCCTTCTTGACGACCTTCATGGCGTAGATGCGCTCCGTCTTCTTTAGCTGCACCAGCAGCACCTTGGCGTAGCTGCCTCTGCCGATCACCCGCAGCAGGTCAAAGTCCGCCAGGCCCAGGCTGGTGGGAGACTTCCCTGTGTCTCTACTGCTGCGTGCCTTAAGGGGGGAAAATCAACAAACAGGGTGTTAAATCACATCATTCAAAACAGTAAACAACAGTAAACAACCTAATATGATGATTACAAAGTCAACTGAGACAATCAGAAATGAATAATTTCGATCCAGCTACCTTTCTCAATCTAATTTCATCTGTGAACTATCGACAGAGCTGATGATCTGGTTTGGACAGGAAGATGATTTCCTTTGGGTAACTTTGCAAATGAGATTGTAGCGGCTCCCAGAGCAACGTTTTGAGAATAAATCTTAGTAATGATTTCCATGTGCCTATTAAAAACCAACATGCAGCTTGCATTAGGTTAGGCACTTGTATTACAGTCATATTTCTCGGTAAACATGGCTCCCACCTTCACCATTTCCTCACTCCTCTCCTATAATCATCTTAGTAGTAAACTATTTCAACCTCCTGCCTTCACTTGAAAACTGTTAATATCTCTCTCTAATCTCCATAAAGAAAACGCCTAATTTAATTTATTCTTTACCCATCTTCTAAACTATAGTAACCCCCAACTCCATCCCAAGCCATTAATCAGCCGCTGTTGTTGAGAGCTGTGATAAAAGGTTACTTAATTAGCTCCACCAAAGGAAATCAATAGCAGTGCAAGGGCGCCTACGTCTGCACGCTGCATCACAGAAACGCAGCAGGTAAACAAGAAGATTATAACCCCACTTTTATTTCTGATTATTCCATTTTGTTTCCTCCCTTGCTAACAATTTCAATCCCTAAAGAACATCGAGATGACAAGTTGTCATGTCAGTGACAAAAGATTTCTCTCTCACCAATTTCTCCTCTCCGTCGTAATCCAAGCTCCGACTGGAGTCTTTAGTCTGAGGGCCTGAGAAGGAAGAAAGTGAGGAAAACACAAGCGGAAAAAGTGGCAGACAGAGTGACAGACATACATAAGGAGAGGGGGTGGCAGGAAGGGTGAAAAACAAGTAGGAGAAAAGAGAGAGGAAGGAGAGAAAATAGGTGAGAGACAGTCACACGTTTTGTTCACAGCTCGCTGCAGTGCCTGGGTAATCTCTCACTGCTGGGTTAAAACGAGAAAAAGAATCTTTTTTGGTATTTTTTTTTTTTTTTTTTCATTAAAACATAAAAACCTTCTTTGTTTATGATATATTCCAATGTTTTTACATCTGTGTTCCACAACACACCCAGGTGGTCTGTCGGCATCCGCAGCAGGAGGTCCAGCTGCTTCACTATCATTAGTAACTAAAACCCCAAAATGTCTCACTTCAGTCGACTCATTTCAATCTGGTTCATAAGCCTCAAAATAAAACCAATCAGCTAATAAGGGTGTTTAAAATCTAGTTATGAAGTTACAGTTGATTATTGTACTCTTCTAAATTCTTCTTATTCAATTTTAACCCCATTAGACGGAGAAAGGAGAGAAATAATGAAATTCTTCTCAAATAACATCCTCACATCGAGAAATAAACTGAGTTTATTCATTTTAAGCTTTGATTATTTTAGATTCTAATCAGAAATCTTTTTCCAGGTCATCAAGTGAATTCCAAATAAGCTAAAAAGTAAATAAAAGTGCGACTCAAAGTGCTTTACATTTAGCAATAGCAAAATAAAGGAAAGTAATGAAAAGTTATTATTTGAAAAGGGGGTTTTAGCCTGGATTTAAAGAAACTCAGTGTTTCAGCAGTTTTGCAGGAACATAAAAACTGGTTGCTGCTTCTCCATGTTTGGTTCTGATTCTGCAAAGTAGACCAGAACCAGAATACTCAGATGGGCTGGAGGGTTGATACAACAACAAAAGGCCTTAATGTATTCTGGTGCAGCTGATTGACTACTATGCAGACGCATGGAGGAGTTTGGTGTTGCTTAAAAAAAATAATTAATATTTGTGTGATAACACAACTTAAAGTAGCCCCGTATCTTTGCTTTAGACTTTCAAGGTTAGACATCCAGCCCTCGTATTAACTGTGTGTTTCTGAAGCTCAGCAAAGGCCAAATTTAGAAACTGCTACTTCAGATGCATCTCAAATTAGAATATCATCCAAAGTTATTTCAGGAATTCACAGTGATCCATCTCAAATGTTTGTTTTAGTGGCCACAGCTTACAGCTAATGAAAACCTAAACATTTTACCCAGGGATGTTTTTTTGTTGCATCAATACAGCGTGGAGCGGAGGTTTCTTTAACACCAACCCTTCAGCTGATCCGCTCTGTCAGTATCGGGCCTTACCCGTCTTTCGTTGATTCTCTCTGGGATTTATTTAGGTCAGCCCAGTTTGCTAACAAGTCAACCACGGTGACACCATCATTATTAAAGGCTGTATTGTTATTGTTTGAGCAAAGTCCTGCTGGGAAATGAACTTTTCCATAAACCTTATCAGTAGAAGGAAGCATGAAGTGCTCTAACATTTCTTGACATTCATCATGTTGACTTTGGACTTGATAAAACAAATAAAATAGATGCTTGAAACAGAGTTGATACTGGAGAGACTTCCTTCAGATCCTCAGAACTTTTAAATACGTTTTTCCTTCACAACCTGCTGCAACCTTTATTATTAAAAAAAAAAAAACATTTTTCCTTTCACTCAACTTTCCAATAATATGCTTCAGAATTGAGTATTCTGAAGCAATGAGGTTTTGTTGCTTTAATCAATGGAAAACCTTTAACAGTCTTCCAGGTGATTATTTAGGCAAGAATATGTCTTTGCATTTCTATATTAAAAATTATTTTTATTGTTCTGTGGAACATTCTGCGTTTATGAAAACTGAATGTTGGTTTTAAGCTATAAGAATCTGAATTACCAGAAATAAATGGTTCACTTTTTGAATCAAATCATTGATCATTGATTCTTCTGTGTTTTGAGTCGATGAATCCCTGTTTCAACTTAACATATAAAACGACAATGGAGATTTAAATAAAAATGTGTTACCTTGCTGATCGGCTGGGTCTAGATGACTTGACTGCGTGCCGGGCATGATTGGTTCCTAGATAGATTCCACCATTAAGAATCGTCAGGCTATGCAGGTTCTGATGAGTTGTGATGATTTGTGACAGATCTCACCTGAATCATCGGTCGACCGCACTCCACCGTCACCAGTTTATGGCACTTCTTGTGCACCAGCAGTTTGCAGTTGATGCATTTGTAACCTTGTCGTCCCAGACCCCAGATTCGGTCCGTACAGATGGCACAGTGAGCTCGCTGCATGGGAGGGTCAACAGAGGGAAACCATCATCACAAAATACTTTTTATACCAAAAACATTATCAAATATAATGTTGTACAAAACCAAAATAAATCCCTTAGATTGATCTCAGTGTCTTGTCTCACCCTGTTGAAGCGTTTGGCCTGAAAGGCGTGGCCGCTCGCGTAGTAAAGCTTCCTCCAGCGTCGAGCGCCACGGCGATATATCGACTCTATGGAGAGAAACAGACTGGTCTCAATACAGGAATGTAAGATGGTGCCATTTAAACTGGTTTAAACACCAAAAGATTGTCAATTCAGCTAATAGTTTAGCTGTAACTTGTATAGCTTGTTTTTGAGCTAGCAATGTTGTTTTTCAATAACCAGGACTCATACATTCAGTGTTATGTATACTGAGGTTTCTAGATTTGTATGTAGTTTTTAAAGACTTTATAGAGTTTGAATACAAAAACATTTTATATTTATGTTAAAAAAAGAAACAAAACAATGAGGAAAGTGGTAAAGACATATTTCACTTATTTTAAATACAGCTGGAGCAATTTAGATTAAAGATTGGCTCAAAATTTCCAACAGATTTGTCAAATTTAAAAATTCTGCAAAACCCAGATTTTGACATGCGACACATTTATTTTAGTTTTATTTATAAATTAAACAAAAACTGAATGCTTCGTATTTGGTTTGGAATAGAACCCTTATTTAAGAGGGACTAGAGGAAGAAAAAGCAGCAAAATTGCATTAATCTTTAAATCATACCTAATAATTATTTTAAAATTTTTCAGGTAAATTATACATTTTTCAGGATGTTTATAAAAGGTCTAAAAATGAAGAAAACAAGTTGAACTCACTGTCCTCTCCTGGACAAGGCATACCGGGTTTCTCGGGTACACAAGGGAATACTGGAAAAGAAGAAAACATCATTTTAACTTAGCTTAGCAATAATATTATAATATTTTCATCTTCTCCCATCAGTTTCAGTGGCGCTGCTTTGAAAAGGAGTAAACGAGTCGGTGATAAATGTAAAGAGTTCTAAAGCGCGGCCTCCTTAGCATTTACCACCAGTAGAAAAGGCCTCTTAACTGGAGAAATTTGTAAAAACACTTATAAGCATTTTTTGCAAAGGTCACTTCCAGGGAAGCGAGAGGAGAAACAAGATTATAGCAGCCAATGACAGGGGAAAAGGCAGCAACCTCGACCTGGAGCAGCGTGAGTCAAAGGGGAGGCGTGGGCCGCGGCCAACAAGCTTGCTAACAAGCAGATCTGGCAACCCCCGAGGGGGAACCAGCACATCTCCTCCCACCCTCAAAACCCCTCCACCTCCATGCATGTGGCATCCAGTGCACTCTTGACCCAGCGCCTCTGATCTAATTAAAACATTACATTAAGCACAGAACCTGTCCCCGTTTTCCCCAGAGAGCGTGCTTACACACAGAAAACCTGTCAATCAACCCTCAAACCCAGAGCAGCACCTGAGTTAAAACCATCAAGAGCCAAGAGGCTGCACAAAAATAATCAATAACTTTCGGCTTAGACGTACGAAAGTAAACTGGCTTCAAGGCTTCAAAATGAGCAACAGTGGAAGTAATGTTGTCTTTACAGGTCACTGGACAATTAACTGTATGTTTAGGTGATGTTTGTGTTCAAAAATAGTCCTAAAGGCGACATGCAGAGATGCAAAAACAGCAAAATCAAAGGGAAATGCAACCAACATCGATGAAGTTTACAATTACATTTCTGCTTTATATGTTTAGATAAATATACATTATTCTGTAAACCAACAGCAGTGACTATTTTCTCATTTGATTTTTCTAAAAAAAAAAAAAAAAAAAAGAAAATTCTCAAGATTTTGACGTTTTAAGTTTTTTTTTTTAA